TATGTGTGTATGTGTGTGTATTAATGAGAGACACAGACAGACAGAGAGCTTTAGCATTACCAATTTTTCATATGATCTTCACCATAACTTTGTAAGACAGGTGGTATTTTTATTCTCATTTTACAGATGAGAAAATTGAATCAGAAAGAGGTTAAGTGATTTGCCTAGGATAAAACAGTTAGTCAGTGTTTGAATTTGGATTTGAATCTAGACCTTCCTCACTCCAGGTCTCCTATTATAGCCACTGTGCCACCCAGATGCAAATATGCCCATATGTGCTTGCTTACATGCATGCATGCATGTGTCTATATGCCTCTGTATGTATTTGTGTGTATGTATCAATGAGTGGGCATTTATATGTCTGTATGCATGCACACATATACACATTTGTTGTTGTTGTTGTTGTTGTTATTCAGTCATTCAGTAATTCCCAAGTTTTTGTGACCCCATAAACTATAGCACGCAAGACCCTTCTATTCTCCACTATCTCTTGAAATCTATCCAAGTTTATGTTCATTATTTCCATGGTACCATCTATCCATTTCATCCTCTGCTGTTCCCTAGTCTTTTTGTCTTCAATCTTTTCCAACATCAGGGTCTTTTCCAATGAGTCTTGTCTTTTCATTATGTGACCAAAGTATTAAAGTTTCAGTATTTGACATTCCAGTGAATAGTCTGAATTAATATCACACATATATATATGTATGAATATATGTATATGTAATATTAAATTCACATGAATACATATTATATACATTCACATTAAATAATACACATATACCAACATGTAGTGTAGACATATAGATGTGTGTATACGTATGAGTAATTATATGTATGTATATATGTGTGTATATGTATATGTGTGACAATGTAAGCAAAATGGCACTTAAAGGAAGCCTAAAAGTGATTAATTATAATGACTGATATTACTGCTGAAGAACAGAAATTTAAGCATAGTAGTCTCTTCACAGTAGAAAGTTAGAGAACCATTCATTGGGGCTGATTGAACATACTGCCAGATGTTGTTTTCTCCTCCTCCCCTTCCATTACTTTTGTTTAAGTGTTTTTCCCCCCAAAGATGTCTCCCCTTGTATTATACCTCCATGATAGTCACAGAAAAATACATGCCATATGCACAAAATACTCAGCAACACTACTTTTCATTAAAAAAACTAGAAACAAAATTTGTGCCCCAAAACTAGGTAATTGCTAAGCAATTAGCAATAAATGATGATGATGGAAAATTGCAGTGCAACAAGAAATAGTAATTGAAAAAATTCAAAAGAAAATGTTGCCTGTAAAATGAAGAAAGCAAAGACTTAAAATATAAACAATAACTATTAATAAAATTAGTTTGGACCGGTAACAAAATTCAAATCAAACGGGGCAGCTAGGTGGCACAGTGGATAGAGCATCAGCCCTGAAGTCAGGAAGACCTGAGTTCAAATCCAGCCTCAGACCAAACATTTGATGCTTACTAGCTGTGTGACTCTGGGCAAGTCACTTAACCCCAATTGCCTAAAAAAAAAAATCAAGTCAAATATAAAGGTCATGTGACTACCACAGTTGTAACAGTCAAAGGGACACATCCTTCCTTTTGTTAGCAATAAAGTAGTTTGTTTTCAGGGAAAAAAAATTCAATTAAAAATGTTGATATCTTGTACTGGATACTAATTTATGAATATACTCTTGCCCAGTAAATCTTCCTGTGTAATAGATTTTTAAAAATTCAAGAAAACAAAACATCACATTTACCATATCTGACAGGATATGGTAGAGGAAATATAGTCTGTAAGAACATTTATATTAGCATTTGTTTGGGGAGTTTCTGTGGTTTCAGAACAAAGTCTATCTATCAACATATTTATGTGTATTTAGAAAAATAGGAAACTACTGGGACAGATCATGTCATTATTAGACAACTAGTTATAAGGAAGTGATTTTTCCCTAAATTTAATTAATTTTAAATTAATTATTAATTTTAAATTATTAATTAATTTTAAGATATTGAATAGTTAATTAATTAACCTCCTCCAACCATTGTTTCTAGTTCTTCCCTTTGTGACCAAGCAAAATAAGTTTATGTGAGTTTCTGATTTGGATCAAAATAGAATTTAATCAAGGCCCCATACAGACACTCATCATGGGGTAAGGGGATACCAAATTATGTTCCTGTGACTTACTTTCATCAAATACATTAATGAACCTTCTCTTATTCCCATACTCACCAGTGAGGCCTGCTGCTACTTTTCCCCTTGCTTCATAATTGTGACCTTTTATTATATGACCTACTCCATAACAATTGTGTAAGGTTACTGTAGGACCCAGTTCTTATGAAATTGTATAAATTATTCTACTGAATAACAATTACCTGGTCTGCTTCTTGTTCCTAAATAGAGAACCCCAATAGCTCATGTCTATTGACCTCTTGGTAGGAGGAAAGTCATGCAGAAGAGGGAAGAGAAAATGTAAGTGTATGTAAGTAGAGAAAGGGAAGAGGTCACTAAATTCCTTTGTGACGTCTCAGAAACTTAGGAGCTTGTGAAAGGAGGAGAATACATTTTTTAATCCATGACCACTACTCATATTCTCTGAGGTATTGTCTGTGAGTCCCCAAGGATGGAGAGGGAGAAGAGCTATTTTAAAGACATAGCCTCTTTCACCTCAGTCTCAGACAAAGCTAGGATGCCATATGTGAAGGGGTAAGTAGCTTTGATTCAGGGGGGTGACTGGGCCTAAAGAAAGGATCCATGGTTTGCTACAAGGATGGGAAATATTGAAACTATCATCCAGTTGTTGGGAGAATATAACGTTAATCCAGTATCTATGTTAAGGGTTAATTATTCTAGGGAATTTTGTTATAGATAAACATCTGTCCAGATTTTCTCTTCCAAACCAAAACTGTAGCAAATGTCAAATGCAAAATCAGGATTATAAGAAGATTCAAATGCCACCTCTGTCACTGGATCTAGCCATGATACGATGGAAAGAACAGTAGTTTCAAAGGCTTTGAAATGGAGGTCTTCCTTTATTACTATGTGATATTGGACTACTTTCCTGGGCATCAGTTTCCTCAAAAGTCAAAAGAGAATGGTGTATTAAATTGTCTACAAAGGCTCTTCTAGCTCTAAATATATAGCCCTAATATGATGTGTTATGAGACTGGTAAATATAGGACTTGGGTGGGAAATAATGACCCTTTGTAAATTATTTTTTGAATCACTAAAAATGAGGGTCTTTAGAGATTATCTAGTAAATTTTTTTTTCTTGGGTAGTTGAGATAATATAGCATAAGGGAAAGAAAAGCTTTGAGTTTGTAATTAGCAGATATGGATTTGAATCTCAGTTCTGACCCTACTAACGGTGGAACCTTAAGTTAGTTTCTCACTGAGCCTCTGTTTCCTCTTGTAAAAGGGGAATCAAAATTTGTATGATCTCCTTCAAAGAGATGTCACAAGTATTTTGGAAACTGTAAATCACTATACGAATGGCCATTATTAGTCAATAAGTCAGTCAACACACACTTATTAAGTGTCTTCTATGCGTTAGGCTGTTGTTTGTCCTTCATTCTCAAAGAAGACTGCGGCATCAGGGAAGTGATGTCATGACATGCAAGTGAATTGGATTTAAGTGAGGGAGGGCTGTGCAAAGTGCCTCACTTTCTCCTCCAGAGTCATCTGGGTCCATTGGTTGGGATATAGATCAGGATGACTGGAAATGGGAGATCTTGGTCCTTTTAAGGTAAGATTTTTTAACAGGTCTCGGTTTGACTGCGGCAGTGCCCATTCAGTGCTTAAGGCTAGGTAAGAAATGAGGCAGAGAATGGCCTTTTTACCTAGTCAAAAAAAAAGTCTATCTGGGAGGGAAAGACCCTCAGGGTTTCTGGTCAAAACAGAAACAACTGCTATTGACATCCACTCTGATCCAATCAGGGCCCAAACAATGGGCTTGGCCTGGGACCTATCTATGAGAGCCAGAGTTATTTGGGTTGAAGGTTTGGTCCTTAAGGGAAAAAAAGATTTCAAGCAAATCAAATTTATATTCTTTTTGGCAGAACACCTAGAGGGAATGGTATGGTACCCTATGTGGACAGAGGGAAGGGAAAGAAAGGAAGGAAGGAAGGAAGGAAGGAAGGAAGGAAGGAAGGAAGGAAG